TTGCAATAAGAAGATGTACCTCCTCTCTTCTTCAGTCTTCAAGAACTTCTTTTAAATATTTATGTAACTATAAATTTCATATTTGTGTCAAATTTTATATAATTGAAATAACTTACAGGTACTTATTTTGATCTATTGAAAGTCTACATACCTTTATGTTTGTGAAACTTTTGAGAGGAGAAAATACTGTTTCAAAGTAGTGAACATTTTGGGTATTTCTAGTTTTTTTTAATCTTAGTACAAATTTAAGTTTCCTATAAGGATGAATTTATAAACCTAATAATAATGCTTGAAAGTTATCATGTGTTTCTCATTGAGAAATATATGTATTTGATCTCTCTTTGTAAAATTAGGTGACAAAAATGAATAAGTTGTGGTAATCAATTTTTAAATTAGAAGGATTTTATTTCTCAGCACCTACATGTCAGTTCAGATTCATCTGTACTGATATTATATATTTTCATCCATAAATGTATTATTCATTTTCAATTCAAATGAAATTCATTTCACTATAATGTATGAACTAATTCCTTCAAAACTGTTGATTCATTAGAGCAGGGTCTGTCAGTTGAATTCATACCCTTATGATAGAAGAGATTAACCACCCCACCTACTTTGTATAACCCTTGTGACCAATAGTAGAATTATGGGCAAACTCTCACACTCACTCAGCATTTATACGGCTTCCAATGATTCAAACCTTGGCCCCATGCTTCCAAGACAATCACTTTACCCCCTGACCCAACTACTGATCCTCTCATAGTATCAGAGTATATATTTAATAAGCATATCTATCTTATCCTCTTTATCTGAAATCCCTTTTATAATTTAATACTATTATGGGGGGGGGTGAGACAGGGTTTCTCTGTAGCATTGGAGCCTGTCCCTAGAACTAGCTCTTGTAAACCAGGCTGGTCTCAAACCCACAGAGATCTGCCTGCCTCTGCCTACAGAGTGCTGGGAATAAAGGCATGTTCCACAACAGCCTGGCTCATGATATTATTCTGAAGTAAGTTCATACCTGACATTTACAACCTAAATTGTATGACATTACATGGAAGAAACTATATATCCAGTTGACAAGTTGACTGATCCTTATTTATCTCTATTTAGGAAATTACAATCATACTTAATGTATTTATAGAGTTGCTTATTTTGGAGATATCCTACAAAATAAAAATAACATGCCTCTTGTAAATGACTTATTTAGCATAGATTCAAGATTAATTCTTTTTCAGCATTATAATTACTTGATTTCATAATTACATCTGAAGTATATAAATTGGTTATATTTAGTTTATGGCCAAGGTGTTTATATGTTCCAAACATTCATGAGCATGTTTTCTGTGTCTGCATGCATTTGTATACGTTTATGTATGGTTAGAGGTTTTTTTTTTTTTTTTGATTTGGAATTTAAAGGTGAGGTCATATGGCAATTGCATATAATCTTAGAGGTACTGCCAGACACTGTCTTAAGTGTCTGTTACATTCTACTTTCTTACCACCAGAATGTAAATGGTCTAAGTTTTCTGAATCTTTGCCAGAATTTGTTGTTGTATTTTTTTAAATTTTAGTCATTATTATAAATGTGAAAGGGTATCTCATTATGGTATATCGCCATAATTTTCTGTAATAACTTTATACTTTTGTTAAATTGCTAATTTTTTATATTCAAGAAAGCAAAACAATATGTAACCTATAAGATAGTAACCTATAAAATATAAATAAATTTTGAACTCTGTTTATGGTGTCTTAAATCAGACAGAGACAGGTAGACTTAAAACATTCTTAAAAATCATATTTATAGTAATAGTAGGTAAGTGCATGTGAGAGGAAATGATGTTACTAATTTAAAGAAGTTGACAGTTCTTAATTTTTAGTCATTCTATTATAACATTACATTTTAATATGCTTTTAAAGAGCATTTTCAGAGATTGAGAGCAAATATTTAAGAATCTCATTTTGAATTTTTGTTGCTTTTATTCTCTTATTTTCACTTTTAAAAATTTGTTGCCTGCCATTCAATCATCTATTTTAAGCAAGGCCAATTGTATCATTTTTTTTTGAAATCAGAAATTAGTTATCTTTGCATTGATAATTCTATTGCTGTTATAAAAGAAAAAAGCAAAACAAATAATCATTTCCAAGGAACCTTAAAGCATGGTTTATTGGGCTCACAATTTTAGCGGGATTAGAATCTGTCATGCTGGGAAATTATGACATCAAGCAATCTTGATATCTACTTCAGAAAACCGAGAGTTTACATCTTGTATATATGTATATATAGATAAATGCATCTTTGAATAGCAATTAGTAAAACTAAAAAAAAAATTAAAATAACTTTACTCTTCAGTGCCTATAAGGCAGATTCAAAATCATTAGCTGGGCTTATAAGACTTCTCAAACGAGTATTCATTTCAGTGTTTAGAACTTAGGCCTAAGAAATCTCACAGAAATTCTCTCGGCTGCTGAAACCAACCCTAGCTTTCAAAGGAATGATGAAATAGAGATTTTTCTACAGGTTAGATTAATATCTCCAAGTCACGTGGTTGATAGAATACAAGTAATATTCAAATCTCGGCAATGACTTCAGAACGCTAAATGATAATTGCAATAGTTTATTTATGTATAATAAACATAATATTGCTACTTACCTCTTTATTGACTTTTACCTACTATTGAACTGAACTGATGATAAATACATAAAAGAAGGCTAAGCATTTTGTTGATGAACTTTGACTTGTTGGCTTATAATACAAATTTCAGGATAAGAGCTCTGAAGGAAGCACAAAGGCCCTTTTTGAGGTCTTTGAAGGCCAATATACTATATTTTTGTTCCTGACATATATTGTATTAACCTAGTATTATGACATTTACAGGGGCCTTAATAAAAATGAGTTCATGGATTAAGTTTAAAATACTCTGGAAAAGTTCCATTACTTTAAAACTAAGAGAATTTAGAAGAACAAGAGTGGTTTACACGGAGCTGTTTCACCAAAATCATACTATTTCTTGGAGTATGCTTGTTAATTATTCAAACCAACCGAACAAACAATTTTAATGAAAAAAAAAACAAAGAAGAATAAAAGAAAAACAGTCAGTCACTAACATAGTAAACTATAAACAAGAATGATGATTAAATGGGATCATTCCTCATACATTTTTCTCATAGAAAATACAAAATGTGGCAAGCAGAAAATGAAATGCACTTGCAAGCAATCACACATCAAGGTTATCTAGCTTATAGTTCTTCCATATGCATTGTAAAGGTGTAATTTACTTTTTAAAATACATAACATCAGAAACCACAAAATAAATATAGAATTTCTTATAAAATGTAATTTTGGCATGTTTCACCATTTTGCAATACAACAATGAATGTATTTTTTTTCTTGAAAGGCACTTTAAAAGTTAAGAATCCATTGTGAGATTTCCAGGTTCACAGTAAATGTTAAGAAGGGAAAAATAAATACATGAAAGGCTACAGAAGCCCTTGCACACCAGTAGATACAAAAACGAAATATTTTCAATATTTTGTACATTTTTTTTTTAAATATGAAAAATTTATGTAGGAAAAGAGCATTAGTTAGTAGGATTTTGACAATAATGACTCTAACATGAAAGAAAAAAATTGAAAAATTGTGAAATTGATCTCTTTTATGATTATTTTGCAGATATATCATCCATATATGAAAAAGATAACACATATCAATGTATACACTGTTGAAAACAGTTAAAATATAGAATATGTACAGAAATCTAACTTGGAGAAAATATTAAAAGTGAAAAATAGCTAAATCCACTTTAAAGTCATTTGTTCTGAATTTATATACGTGACCTATGACAAAAGCCTCGTAGGAAAATCCCAAGTATTAATAACTTTTCATATTTGTGAGTACCAAACTTGTATGTATGGAAGAGGACACCAACTATTCTCTCCTACCATTCTCTGCCTATTGCTTGAGACATGGTCTTGCACTAATCTTGGAGCTCGTTTCTCACCTAGACTGGTTGGTTAGCAAGTCCTTCCTGCATTACTTCCTACTTTCAGTGCTAGGGAGACAGAAATTTTTGGGCATATCCGGCTTGTTACATGAGTACTGGGGATCTGACCTAGGTCCTGATGCTCATCCACTGAGCCATTTTCCCAGCCCAAATTAAAATTTTTTTACATGTTCATTAGACAAAATTATTTTAAAACTACATAAAATTAAAACCACTCACATATTAAAAAGACATTTCAACATTTTAAATTAAAAAACAAAAAGTTATTAAGTGAATTACCAATACTGAAACTATAGATTAAGTACATGCAACTAAGTAAACCTTAGCAATAACTTCACTTAAACATTTACTTTCAAGAATAATATTAGAAGCACATAATTTAGATCCACCTAAGAATGTGCCATTGACAAATATTTATCAACATTACAACATTTCCTTTGAAGTGTGCAATTTCTAAAGCAGTCCATCCATTATTTTATGCTAGGCTCTTCACATTAGTTCTGTTAATAGAATCCTTCTACATCAGCCTCTGACACATGCTACAAATGATGATTCTACTTACAAGGTTTTGATTGTGTATGTGCTGGCCAAGTGAAGACTTATAGATTTCTTCTCATCACTGTGTTCTTTGTGTGTGTGGTGTGCATTCATGTGAGGATGAGTGTTCGTGTCTGTCGCTCACATTATACTTGCAAGGGGAGGCTAGAGGTTGATGTTAATGTTGGAAGTCTTCCTTAATCATTCTCCACTTTACTTTTTGAAAGATCTCTAACTGAACCTGAACAGATTTGAGACTAGCTAACCAGCAAGCTCAGGGATATTCTGTCTCTGCCTCCCTTGCACTGGGATTATAGGCATGTGCCACCACGTCTGACTTTCATATGGGTAGTGAGGATTTAAACTCAGGACCCACACTTCTGTGGCTGGAACGATATAGACAGAGCCATCTCCCCATCCCCTTAGTGTTTTTTTTTTTTTTGAGAACTGAACAGAGGCAAGTGGAGATAATCCCACATCTTTACATTAATACAGGTTAAATTCGTTAAGCCATCATGCTTGCTAGAAAAAGCTGGCAATAAAGGAGCTCCCTTTATTATATATTTAGAGATACTCTCCAATATGTCTCCACCCATGTTTTTTGACGGGAACCAGAACATGTTAAGGCTTATTCGCATTGCTTATAACCATATATTTTGTTTTTTAGTTAATTGAAACTTATTCAAAGAGGAGAACGTCTTCCAATGTAGTTTACACACAGTGCATCCTTTCATGGTATCGAAGAGAACCATGAGTACTGTAGGATTTTCCACACTGTTTACACACATAGGGTTTCTCTCCAGTGTGAATTCTCTCATGGCATCGAAGGGAACTGTGATCAGTGAAGGCTTTCCCACAGAACTTACATACATAGGGTTTCTCTCCCCTGTGTATTCTCTCATGGCGCTGAAGTGAACTGTGAAAAGTGAAGGCTGTCCCACACAGCTTACACACATAGGGTTTCTCTGCACTGTGAATATTTTCATGGCAACGGAGAGAACTGTGATACATAAAGGCTTTCCCACACTGTTTACATACATAGGGTTTCTCTCCGGTGTGAGTCCTTTTATGGCAATGAAGGGAACTATGAAACGTGAAGGCTTTTCCACACACCCTGCACAAACAAGGTTTCAATCCACTGTGAATTCGTTCATGTTTTTTCAATGCGCTGCTCAACACAAAGGCTTTCCCACATTGCTTGCACCCATAGGATTTCTCTCCACTGTGAATCTGTTCGTGGTATCTAAGAGCATTGTGATGCATGAAGTTTTTCCCACATTGCTTGCATGCATAGGGCTTCTCTCCACTATGAATCCTTTCATGGCATTTAAGAGAACCTTGGCAACTGAACGCTTTTCCACACAGCTTACACACATAAGGTTTCTCTCCACTATGAATCCTTTCATGACATTGAAGAGAACTGCAATCAATGAAGGCTTTCCCACATACCTTACATTCATAGGGTTTCACCCCAGTATGAATTCGTTCATGTCTTCGCAAGGCACTAGAACAAGTAAATGCTTTTCCACATTGCTTGTATACATAGGGTTTCTCCAAATTGTGAATCTTTTCATGACATTGAAGGGAACTGTGATCAATGAAGGCTACCCCACATTGATTACATATGTATTCTACTACATTATGAGTCTTTTCATGACCCTCAACCTTACTCAAAGAAGGAAAGACTTTCAGAAATTGCTTGCATTTATAGGGTTTCTCTCCACTATGGGTCCTTTCATGGCGGCGAAGGCCACTGGAATAAGTGAAGGTCTTACCACACTGCTTACATGTATAAAGCTGGACTCCAGTATGTGTTCTTTCATGTGTCAAGAAAGAACCAGAAGAGTGAAAGGCTTTACCACATACTTTACATATATATGGCCCATGTCCATCATGTGTTACATGCTGTTGGATACCAGCAAGAGTCAAAAAATCTTTCCCAGTCTGCTTTAAAACACAAAGTTTTTCTTTAGCATGCATTCCTTCAGGGTCATGAACATCACGGTGTCCACTAAAACAGTCCTCAGTTTGCTTACATTTGTAAGGTTCCTCTTCTGTGTGAGTCTTCAGATGTTCCAGAAAGCACTGGAGAGAACTATAGACTTTCCCACAGTCCTTATAAGTGCCTGGTTTCTTGGCATATTCTTGATTCTCACATAGTTTGTATCCAGTCTGAACTTCAGTGGGAAGAATTTTCCTTAAATTTTCATCATCCTCTTCAAGGGTCTGATCTTCCTGCTTTTTTGCTACGGCAGCCAGGTTCCTGAAGGTTTCCTGCATCACATCTCTGTGCAGCTTCTTTTGGGAAGAATTCAGTAAAGCCCACTCCTCTGAGGTGAAGTTCACAGCCACATCCTCGAAGGATACAGACCCCTGAAAAATGAGGAGGGGTGAGACATACTGGAGCACTCTGCTCATGTGCACAGTGTTTACAGAATGGTGTACTGTCTAACTGTTAAACCCAGGTAAACATCAGTGTTCTGGTCAATGCCCACACTCTAACAATATCATTCCAATGCTACGCTGAAACTATATTATGAAGGAAAAGCAGATGCCTGGTATGCTGTTTGGTCATCCAGAAAGTCTGTTTAATGGTTCTTTACACCTCTCATAAAAAAAAAAATTCTACTAGGCCAGGCATAGCAGTACATGCCTTATTCCCAGCACTTGGGAGGCAAAGGCAGGCAGGTCTCCTTGAGGTCAGCCTTACATAGTGAGGCTCTGTCTTAAAAAAATATCTTACTAGTCGTATCCATAATAGACTTAACACCAGCTATATGGAGACTATTCTTAGAACAGGGCTTGGAACAGTGCTTGACTCTCAAGCATGAGGGCCTGAGTTTGAACCCCCACAAGTACACATAAAATGCTGGACATGATGGAACACAGCACTGGAGATTACAGATGAATACAGGTGGCTCCCTGGTGCACACTGGCCAGGCAGTCTCATACACTTGGTAAGCTTCAGGCAAAAGAAGGTCCTTTCTCAAAAGGTCATTTCCAAGGAGTGACCCAAGGCTGTTCTCTAACCTCCGCATGCATAAGTATACACATGCGTGTGTGTACTTGTTTAAACATCTGTAAGCATACATATAAAAAAGATATATTTTCAACTTTCCCTGGGGTCTGGGTACTGGCATTTCAGATGGACCTCACTAGCCTACCTGTGGAAAGGGGCTCACTGTTCTAGTTTAAGACAGCAATATGCTACTTGTTTAGCTCCCACTGTCCCTCTAAATGTCCGCAAGCTTCTGACATGCTTATCAGAAGGATCCTACTTGATCAGAATGAAAATATGCTCTGGAGGATTAGTTCCCAAGGAGCTGGTCTGACGGATAATACAGAAAAAACACTTCATCTCTCAACTTCTTCCTTAAGAAGCTGCACATCTTTGTTTGCACGACAAAACTTGAGAAGTCTTGTACTTGACATCTTATTGGCAATCAAATAGTTTGAAAGCCCTATGAAGGATGATCTACTATGATAATGTGAAAAGACTTTGTTTTTCCTCAAAAAGGCTAAGAGAAATAGAAACGAGGGGAATGGCATTGTTAGAAGAGGCTTACTGACAGATATATTTAGAAAATATAATTATTTCTCAACACATCTTTATCCAGTTGACTACTAACCCAGAATTTCCTTTATCAGAACATCCCTACATATAAGTAAAGAGGAAGTCCATAAAGAATGTCCCATGTAAATATATATGAACTGAGTATCTTATAGACAAACAGCACTGGGAAAAAGGGTTTAGACAAAATAACAACTTGTGATGTCAATACCCTGATATCACAAATAGGTCACCCAGAAGAAAAATCAACCAAGGAACTTCAGCGTTAAACTGCACCATAGATCAAATGCCCTTAACAGCATTTACAGAACAGTCCATTAACAACTGCAGAACACATTTTAGTTTGTCTATTCATGACTTCCTGACAATGTGTCTCTGGGAGATAGTTCATTATCCACTAGGAGAAAATGTTGCCTGTTGATTTTGTACCCTCCTGCCTTCCTAAATAGTTTATAATCTCAAAGGGCCTTTTTGGTGTTTTGTTGTCAGTGGTGGTTGGTTGGTTGGTTGGTTGGTTGGTTGGTTTCTTGAGACAGGGTTTCTCTGGTCCTGGAATATTTTGTACATTTTAGCAAGCTTAGGTGATGCTAATATGATTTTGTACATGCCTATTGATTGTTTTAGTAGAGCACACACACAGAAACATACACACACATGCACACACACAAAATCTCTATGAACAAGATACCAATAAATGAAATCTTGAAAGACAAAATACTATTTAAAACAGCATGCTTTATATACACATCATCGTTGCTTCACAGAAATTTTTCTATTTCTTTGAGATTTTGTTTAAGGAATTGTATTTCTCTGAGAATGCAAGCAAAAATAAACCTAAGGATTTTAGAGATATGATCAAAATTTGATGAATTAATTTTAGCCAAGGTTTAATGCTTGAATGAAATTCATTAACTCAAGTTAGTTCTATATTCTTCTAGATCACAAGATGTCATTGTGTTTTGTGTTTGGACTACAACCGATTTTGATATGTTAATATCTGAGGGATCTTTTGAGCTACATTTTATTTTGTAACCTTTTGTTATATAAAGATTTAGGTTAAATCAAGACAATACTTCATGAAATGTGAATTAGCTATCATATTTTGTTTTAATTTCTAGAACAGGAACAGTAAAGTTTGTTTAAGAGTCCAGAATTTTAAAGCAAATGGAATAAAAAGAATCTGTCTTGGGGAAGATTTCAATTCTTATATATTATTTAAAAGCCTGAAGCTATCTGACTTTTCCTTTGTGAACTTATTTCCATTTTGCAAAGTCTTCCATGTGGTCTCTTAAGATAAATCAAAGGATAACCTAAAGACAGACAGTCCAGGCTTTTGACCTTTGGACTACAGTAACTGCAAATATAAGAAATTTGTTATAATGATGTTTTAGATCAGGTCAAAAAGGTAATGTATTTGAATGTGTTTATTTTCCTTTGCCATTGTGATGTCGTTTTTCTTAAAGCTCTCTGTGTTATGTCCTATCAGTGGAGAGGATTCAAGATCTTCAGTACTGAAGGTCAACCCCTATTAAATATAAGAATCCCTAGTTCGGTTTCTTGTGACCTCAATATAGATTCCTATGATTATTTTAAAAACAAATGTCATGAATGTATGTAAAACCCAACAATATATTTTATTTTTCTGTGTATTATAGTATGTTTTCTAGGCTTGACTTGAAATAGACTTCAGTGTGTAATATCACTCTATCTTCTGCTAATAGAGTAGTGTCTATTTTTCTTAAATGCTACAAACTATAAACACCTTTCATGCTCATCATAAAAAATAGGTAATATGAGCATGCTGTGTACACAATCATCCCTTTCATTCCAGGGAGAATAAATGCAGGGAAAGATGATAAATTGCCACATGGAAGTCTTTGTGGCACTAAATGATTTGAAGTAATGAGATATTATAATTCAGCACACAGTAGCAGCCCAACTGTTAGAAATTTTGTATTATACTATATTAAATTTTTAGTTATCTGCTGTTGCTTTAGATATTATCTAAGATTCAGTGTCAGCATTCACGAAGATGCACCCAAGAATACAAATCTTAAAAAAATAGAACTGCAATAGTACAAGTTGATTTCCCAAGGATGCAAACAGAATAATTTTCTACCAAAGAAGCATACCTTTTTGCACTCTCTTGAAAATCAGGCATAGTGTTATACGTTTATAATACATCTTGTAGCTCCTCAAGTACAAAGAGTGGGTAAGATCTAAAGTGTAAATCATATGCTTGTTTTTGTATTGCTTTATCTAATCCTTTATACATATATTAGTTCCATTGTAAAAGAGAGATGTGATTTTCTTTCTCAAGTCTGACTAAATCTTACCATTATGCAAATACACATCTGTTCAATAAAAATCAAAGCAAAAGAAACAGTTTACTACAGAAAAACAAAGATTTCAAAGATATGGGGTTGTCAATTTGTTTGTGGTTGATTTATTTAATCTACATCAAGGTCTGAGGGTGAAAAAAATTACTGCTATTTTCCAAACAATATTTTTTTTTCCTTTACAGGGTGTTGACCATAATATAAGCAGCACATTTAAAAGTAGTTACATTATTGAAAGAACCATCCAAGGCAAAGTAATTAAGTTTATTTTACATACTGGCAACCAATAAAACAAGAACAGTTAACAGAAAATTCAGAGATTGAAGATGCACACTTAAGAAAACAAATGGTTTAGCATTCCATACTCTCATTAATGACTACATCACGTAGAAAGGATTCTCATCAGTAAGAATTTTTTAACTTAGAATATTCAGCATATTTTGCTTTGGTTAATATTTGAACCGTACTTCCCATGAAATTGGAAATGCCCACAGTTTTGTAAACAACTTCAGTAATGTAGAGTAGTGTCAAACACCCTTATTAATCCATTAAGGAATATTCTAGTATTTACTTAATGTAGAGCATTATGCTTCAGAAACATAAGGAAGCTTTTTGTGTCCAAATAGCAAGAAAAAAGATGTAGGCTGTTGCTGCTTGAAGTCCATGTGAAAAATAAGTAAGAATTAATTAATTTATTTATTTACTTATTTATTTATTTATTTTTGGTAAATGATCATATTCCCTTATGGGATTCTTTTGTAATGAAGAAAAACTAGATACTGTTATCAAAAAATGACTCCTTAATTAAAATAATAATTCTGTTTTAAGATTCAGCCAATTAAAAAATTGAGAACAATAATAGTCTGAAAACTGAATTCCATGAAGATATAGGAACAAGATTTTGTTGTTTTTCTTTTTTTTTTCTCTGACAGAGTTTATCTGTGTAGCTTTGGAGCCTGTCCTGGAACTCACACTGTACACCAGGCTGGTCTCAAACTCTCAGAGATCCACCTGCCTCTGTCTCCAAAGTGCTGGAAATAAAGGCCTGCATCACTACTGCCTGGCTGAACAATATTTTTTTTATTTTTAATTTTATTTTGTTTTTACAACCATCTTTTTTAAATTTTACATATCAATCCCAGTTGTCTGTGCCTTCCCTCTTCCTGCTTCCCCCATCTTATTCCCATTACCCCCAATGGGGAGTCAACAAAGTCTCACCCTCCCCAAATATCTAGGCAAAAAGCCAGTTACTGCAGTAGGAATAAATCCTTTATCCCGCTGCCAGTAGCCCCACAAACTGCCAAAACCACAGAACTGTCACCCACATTCAGAGGGTCTAGTTTTGTCCTATGTGCGATCCCCAGTTTTCAGTCTAGAGTCAGTTCGGTTGCATACACCAGTATGATTTGCTGAAGGAGCCAAAGGCAGGAAGATCACGAGTTTGAGGCCAACCTGAACAATTCTTAAGTAACTCATAAATTTCAATAACTTAATCACATGCCCAAGAA